GTGGTAGTAGTGGTAGTAGTGGTAGTAGTGGTAGTAGAGGTAGTAGTGGTAGTAGTGGTGGTGGTAGTAGCCGCAGCAGCAGCAGCAGGTTATCTAACTTCCACAGCTCATCTAACTTCTGAGTCACTGCCACCAGCTGTTCAGGAAGCAAATGAACATTCATACAAAAGTATATACATATTTAATCTTTCGCCAGATCTTTCGCCAAAAAATAAGTTACTTTCGCCAACTCGAGAAAAAACTTTCGCCAAATGAGATTTTGATATGTTCCGGGTCATCGTCATACACAATGCTGTCTAGGACCTTTAGATCGACAACCAAATATGTCCGCAAGGGCGGGGGTCTTCCTATCCGCCCGTCAGCCCAATACAGTGTGACCAAGTGTTTCTTTAAAACTGAAAGAAACAAAGGAGCCTCTTTCATAGGAACCCGGTACCTCATAAAGAGGCCTTCCCTTCCTTTTTCTATCATGTTTCCAAAGCCCCTTTCTGCACACACCATGCTATACAAAGCCGGGGGGCCGAAGTTTCGGATTTGCAGTCTGCAGTCGAAACGTTTATTGATGTGCAATGCGATGATCTGATGGGCGGTTAGGTCATGCGTTGTGGTCCGAGGTCACGTGTCATGTGGCGTGTTGTCATGTGTGATGTGAAAGCATAGCTGGGTGATGACGTATGTGGTGACATGTAGAGTGGTGATGTCTGCAAAGTAACTTGCGAGGTAGTGAAGGGTTTGGATTTGTGACGCGGGTAAATAAGAGTAATAGGGTCATCTAGCGTGTGGTGATGTGTGCGTGTTGATTTGCAATGTGGTGGGGTGATTTTTGATGAGGCGGTCACATCAGAGGATTTGTTGTACTTTCAGTTCTGTGTGTTCCTAGTAGCAAGAAGCTAGTAGGTTGGAGGCCAGCCTGTACCTTACAGTTGTTTATGCTATCCGGATGATCACTCCCTGAGCACCTTCGGTGCAGGCGGATTTCTTAATCAAAGGTGGACATCATATAGGAATCTTGTAGTGCATGGCTCTTTGAGGGTCAGCGCTGTGAGGCCAGCGCATGTCGCAACGGCCGTGGCAAAATATGCCTTTTCTAGGTTGGAGTCACACACGTAAAACACGACTAAACGATTTGTTGTTTCAAGTCTCACGAGCCTCATCTTGCTCCTTGGAGCGCTGAGCGGCCGATGCCATCGCCATCTGAGCAGCCATCTGTTCCTCCTTCCTTTGAAAAACTTCCTCTGCAGCCATCTGTGCCGCTTCGCGTAGAGCCGATGCCTTGTCCGACTCAGCAGTGACCTCAAGAATCACATGACTCGTTCAAAGGTCACCAAAAAGTTACCTTTTTTTCCAGAGCCCGGGGGATAGGCCGCTAGGGGTAGGAAGTAGCTAGTAGAAGAGGTAGCTAGTACCTACAAGTGGACGCTACTACCGACAGGACGCAGGATAGCACTCGCACAAATGATTTGGTTTCTAGATTTTAAGGGAAACTTAAGTACTAGCGATGGCCTCCAACCTTAAATAGCAATAGAAAAACACACAGTAACAGTGTTTAACGTTGACAGAACGTTCTAACGTTCGGCTTTGACTTTTCTAGCATTTCTACGAAGGCGACTGGGACAGTCTGCTGGTTCATTAACATGGAGCAGTAAAGTTAGCATTATGAAGCAATCTCCTTAGACATGTAACTCTAAGTCCACCACTTATGTTGCCAAGCCACGGTTTTCTGCAGCTGAGCTAGTACAGATTGCATCTCAAAGGACTGCAGCAGCTGTCTTCCCATCACTGCTAGCTGATTGGACAAGTCCTATCACCCAGAACCAAAGGCAGAACATGCTTCTCAAAACTTGCACATTGACAAATCTTGTAAAGTAAGGGAGGCCTTCGGGGCCTTTGGTATCGCTTTGGGCGATCCTTTTAACAAGACAACATTCTCCACATTCTCTATTCAACAGTCCTCCAGCTGTTGGGATGAAGCTGCATTGGCTTCATTCAAGCATTCCCATTCCTGCACTAGAGACGGAATCTTGAAGCAAAAAGATCGAATTCAACTTTAAATTGTAAAGCACATCTTAAGATCACTTCGTGCAAAAATCAAATCTTAGGTTCTTAGATCACTCAAAGAATGGCAATTAAAAAATCTTGAAACATGCTGGAACTTCAACGGACTCTGTGGCTAGAACTGAACATCTCCAGCAACCTAAAGTCTTGTGTTTAACACTTCCAAAGAACAAAACTCCAAAGAGATGAAACGCTGGGAAAAAGGAAACCTCTCTTCTGAAGCAACGCTGCGTGTATCTTAAAATGCCTGTGTAGACAGAGTCACAGAGCTCTTTGGACTATCACGCTGTGGAGCTGCCGGAGCACTTGCAGCACCGGCGACCAGCGCGGAAGTTGGCTTTGGAGCCGAATCCACTACGCGGACCAGAAGACGACCATCCTGTAACGCAAGGCGATGCCCAGAAAAGAACAAGCAAAAATAAACGAATCAATAATTAATTAGATTTGAATGAGAAACATGAATTGAACTAGACTCAAAATAGAATAGAACATAAACTAAAATAGAATTAGATTAAAAGTAAATGAAAATAAAACGGAATTAGCTTAGAATTAAATAAGAACTATTTAGAATTGAAAAAAAATTATAATCGAATTGATTTAGACTTAATAGGAATCAAATTAAAATGAACACAAATTAAGCTGCAATTGATCAAATTTAACTTAGAATTAATCTAGAATAAACTAGAATTGAGCTAAAACTAAATTAGAGTCACTTAGCATAGAACAGATTAGAATTAAAAGATGAATTAGAATTGAATTAGACTTGAATGAGGTCAACTTAGAATGAATTAGACTTGAATGAGGATTAAATTAGAAATGAAATAGACATAAGAAGAATTAAGTTAAACATAAAAGTAAATCAACTTGCAATAAAGCATAGAATTAAATTAGAATTATGTTATGTAGCAATAACTAAAACTAAAAGGGAATTAAACTAGAGTTAGATTAGAATGGAGTTAGAATTAAAACGACTTAAACTATATAAAATTAATCTAACATTCAATTGAAAACACAAAGTCAAATAAAATAGTATCATTAGATTTGAAATACCATACAATTCAACTAGAACTAAAAATGCAAGTAAATTAGAATTGACATAGAATTTCACTAGAATTAATTAGGATTGCATTAGCAATTGCATTAGCATGAAAAGGTAGGGTGGAGGCCATCGCTAGCAGGGTCGAGGCCATCGCTATTAGGTTGGAGGCCATAGCTAGTCGGGTGGAGGCCATCGCTATGAGGTTAGAGGCCGTCGCAGGTGGAGGCCATCGCTAGCAGGGTGGAGGCCATCGCTAGTCGGGT